AGCTTCTGAAGCAAGCGTCTGTGAGTCTGTTACCATCCTCTGGGGGGTTTACACTAAAGGAAAGAGTAAACATTACCATGTGACAAAGGGTAGGCCAGAAGAATGTACTCTCTGTAGGAGGGTAAAGCACAGAGTAGATGATGCGTTACTCCCTAGAAAAGGGTTCCGTTTAAGATTTACCCTTTCAAAGAGTGTAACCCAAAAAATGTTATACTCTAGACAAGAGTAAATCAAAAAAGTTTACCATTCAGGAGATGGTAAAAAACGTCTGTGTGTCATGTTACCCCTCCCTGGCGAGTTTACTCTTCATGAAAGAGTAAAATTTACCATCTGGAAGGTGGTAAAAAACGTCTGTGTGTCAAGCTACCATGCTATGGCGGGTTTACCCTTCAGGAAATGGTAAAAAAGTTTTCAGTGCGGCCGCCGCCTGCCCTCTCCTCTCCGGTGTGGACGGAGACGAACATCGGACATAGGAGCGTCCCCGGCGGCCGTTTGTCCCAGTTGTGGGGCCATGCCGGCGCGTCGGACGGCACGGAGGGGAGTCGAGTCGTAGTCATGTGACTGCACGGTGGTGTGTGTAAGGTCGATCGACGAATAAAAGGTGCATTGGAGAAGACACCCAGTTGACCACGTGACCTCGAGCGACCCTGCACAGCGGACTGGGGAGAGGAGAAGGACAGGGTTGGGGGCTCAGCGGCCGCCGCAGAAACGGACACTCACATATAGGGTAGGGACAGTCGGCAGAGACAGTCCCACCGGTCCCACTCATGGGGTTGGGACAGTCGGCAGAGACAGTCCCACCGGTCCCACTCATGGGGTTGGGACAGTCGGCAGAGACAGTCCCACCGGTCCCACTCATGGGGTAGGGACAGTCGGCAGAGACAGTCCCACCGGTCCCACTCATGGGGTAGGGACAGTCGGCAGAGACAGTCCCACCGTTCCCACTCATGGGGTGGGGACAGTCGGCAGAGACAGTCCCACCGGTCCCACTCATGGGGTAGGGACAGTCGGCAGAGACAGTCCCACCGGTCCCACTCATGGGGTAGGGACAGTCGGCAGAGACAGTCCCACCGGTCCCACTCATGGGGTAGGGACAGTCGGCAGAGACAGTCCCACCGGTCCCGCTCATGGGGTAGGGACAGTCGGCAGAGACAGTCCCACCGGTCCCACTCCATGGGGTAGGGACAGTCGGCAGAGACAGTCCCACCGGTCCCACTCATGGGGTAGGGACAGTCGGCAGAGACAGTCCCACCGTCCCACTCATGGGGTGGGGACAGTCGGCAGAGACAGTCCCACCGGTCCCACTCATGGGGTAGGGACAGTCGGCAGAGACAGTCCCACCGGTCCCACTCATGGGGTAGGGACAGTCGGCAGAGACAGTCCCACCGGTCCCACTCATGGGGTAGGGACAGTCGGCAGAGACAGTCCCACCGGTCCCGCTCATGGGGTAGGGACAGTCGGCAGAGACAGTCCCACCGGTCCCACTCCATGGGGTAGGGACAGTCGGCAGAGACAGTCCCACCGGTCCCACTCATGGGGTAGGGACAGTCGGCAGAGACAGTCCCACTCATGGGGTAGGGACAGTCGGCAGAGACAGTCCCACTCATGGGGTAGGGACAGTCGGCAGAGACAGTCCCACTCATGGGGTAGGGACAGTCGGCAGGGACAGTCCCACCGGTCCCACTCATGGGGTAGGGACAGTCGGCAGAGACAGTCCCACCGGTCCCACTCATGGGGTAGGGACAGTCGGCAGAGACAGTCCCACCGGTCCCACTCATGGGGTAGGGACAATCGGCAGAGACAGTCCCACCGGTCCCACTCATGAGGTAGGGACAGTCGACAGAGACAGTCCCACCGGTCCCACTCATGGGGTAGGGACAGTCGGCACAGACAGTCCCACCGGTCCCACTCATGGGGTAGGGACAGTCGGCACAGACAGTCCCACCGGTCCCACTCATGGGGTAGGGACAGTCGGCACAGACAGTCCCACCGATCCCACTCATGGGGTAGGGACAGTCGGCAGAGACAGTCCCACCGGTCCCACTCCTGGGGTAGGAACAGTCGGCAGAGACAGTCCCACCGGTCCCATTCATGGGGTAGGGACATTCGGCAAAGACAGTCCCACCGGTCCCACTCATGGGGTAGGGACAGTCGACAGAAACAGTCCCACCGGTCCCACTCCTGGGGTAGGGACAGTCGACAGAGACAGTCCCACCGTCCCACTCATGGGGTGGGTACAGTCGGCAGAGACTGTCCCACCGGTCCCACTCATGGGGTAGGGACAGTCGGCAGAGACAGTCCCACCGGTCCCACTCATGGGGTAGGGACAGTCGGCAGAGACAGTCCCACCGGTCCCACTCATGGGGTAGGAACAGTCGGCAGAGACAGTCCCACCGGTCCCATTCATGGGGTAGGGACATTCGGCAAAGACAGTCCCACCGGTCCCACTCATGGGTGGGGACAGTCGGCAGAGACAGTCCCACCGGTCCCACTCATGGGGTAGGGACAGTCGACAGAGACAGTCCCACCGTCCCACTCATGGGGTGGGTACAGTCGGCAGAGACTGTCCCACCGGTCCCACTCATGGGGTAGGGACAGTCGGCAGAGACAGTCCCACCGGTCCCACTCATGGGGTAGGGACAGTCGGCAGAGACAGTCCCACCGGTCCCACTCAAGGGGTAGGGACAGTCGGCAGAAACAGTCCCACCGGTCCCACTCATGGGGTAGGGACAGTCGGCAGAGACAGTTCCACCGGTCCCACTCATGGGGTAGGGACAGTCGGCAGAGACAGTCCCACCGGTGCGCGCCGCTCAGTGTCCCAGAGGGTGCGTCGCTGAGGTGCCGCGGCGCGCCGCAGCCCCGGCTCGGGCCGGCCAGCACCGCTCAGGTGACTGACGGCGGTCAGCCCAGCCGGCAGCGAGTCGCCGGGACCGGCAGCTCGGCCACCGGCTGCAGTCCGGGCCGCCGACAGACGAGCGGCCACGGCCGGCGGCACCGCACCAGTCGGCAGACAGCTCTGCAGCCGCGCCGCACCGCTGTATGGCCGGGACGGGGGGACTTGGTGCTGATTATAATACCAAATGAGTCGAGTAGTTCTGAGTTTCTGACCTTCACTCATCACCTGTTTCGCTGTAGCTCGAGTGGATATGGCCGGGCAGAAGCCGGGGACCGTGCATGTCCGTGTCGAGGTGTCTCCGCGTATGTCCGTGTCTCCGTGTCGAGGTGCCTCCGTGTCTGTCCGTGTCTCCGTGTATGTCCGTGTGTGTGTCACTGCATGAGTGTCACTGCAGCGTGTACGGCCGCTGTACGGTCCGTATATGACGGGTACGGAGACGGTGTACGGAGACTGCCGCTCCGCTCCGCCGGGGCGGACTGTCTGTGACCGCGCGGAGCGGGGCGGAAAATGACGGCTCACAGCGGAGCGGGGCGGAAAATGACGGTTCACAGCGGAGCGGGGCGGAAAATGACGGCTCACAGCGGAGCGGGGCGGAAAATGACGGTTCACAGCGGAGCGGGCGGAAATGACGGTTCACAGCGGAGCGGGGCGGAAAATGACGGTTCACAGCGGGGCGGAAAATGACGGTTCACAGCGGAGCGGGGCGGAAAATGACGGTTCACAGCGGAGCGGGGCGGAAAATGACGGTTCACAGCGGAGCGGGGCGGAAAATGACGGTTCAGAGCGGAGCGGGGCGGAAAATGACGGTTCACAGCGGGGCGGGGCGGAAAATGACGGCTCACAGCGGAGCGGGGCGGACGGTGCAGCCGGACAAACACTCGGCACACTGCTCATTGGTTTATTGAAGGCTACATATATGGTACAGCTCAAGCAACTCCTCCCGTGTATGTATAGAAGACAGAGAGTAGAACAGACACCCGCTTGCCGGAGCGGCCGGGCGGGCGCGGCTGTGAGCCGCCGTCTCAACTGACACCGCCTATACAGCTCGGACGGCCTATCCAGTAGTGTATTGATATATACCTGTCCGTGTGAGTGTCACAACACGCATCCAGTACACTCAACATGGCGCGCTGTGCACTAGAGATGTCAATCGGATACCAACGTTTTGGTATACCGATACCAAACCGATACCAACTTGGTACTTGGTATTTCAATCCTAATGTGTTTGGTATTTTGTTGGTATCATGAACCCTCACTAATGTATAAGAGGCTAATAAATCGGTAAAAAGTTAGTATTTCCCTCATTTTCCCAAGTTGGTTTGGTTTCGGCATTTTCCCGGGATTTTCGTTGGTATTTAGTTAGGTATCGGTATTCTGATTTTCTGTAATTGACATCACTATTGTGCACCTCGGTGCCGGTGAGACAGCGTCCCCGTCCGACTGACCGCCGAGCCGAGCCGACCCGGCACGGCGGTCACGTGACCGAGCCGACCGACCCGGCACGGCGGTCACGTGACCGAGCCGGCCGACCCGGCACGGCGGTCACGTGACCGAGCCGCCCGATTCCACCGGGGGACGGTCACGTGACCGAGGCCGGCCGTGCTGCCGGGACCAGGCACGGTGAACCGAGTCGGACCGTCAGAGACGTGTGTTCTACATACAGAATAGCGTAATGACATGATCGGTAGTCTCTCCAGCACATCACTTTTCACTATCCAATTACCCACAATACCCGCCCGGTAATTACCCACTACATCACATCTCCCGTCCAATTACCCATAACACCCACCCGGCAATTACCCACTACATCACTTTTCACTGTCCAATTACCCACAATACCCGCCCGGTAATTACCCACTAGGTCACATGATCACATCCCGTCCAATTACCCACAATACCCGCCCGGCAATTACCCACTACATCACATCTCCGGTTCAATTACCCACAATACCCACCCGGTAATTACCCACTAGATCACATCTTCCGTCCAATTACCCACAATACCCGCCCGGTAATTACCCACCACATCACATCCGTGTGCTACTACTACATCTACACTACTACTACTACAACTAGATCACTACACTAGAGCGGACACCGGGGCCGTGTGCCGGCTGACCGGCGCCGCTCTCAGTGCCGGCTGGTGCAGCACACACGGCAGCAGTCAGCTGGCGGCCCCGGCCGACTGGCTCGGCCTCTCTGCAGTCAGCTCATCACTGCACGGTCGGGAGTGCAGCGCATCAATCAGCACCACTCCCACACTCTGACCCCATCGCCTCCCTGGCTCCCCAGCTGACGGTACAGCTCCCCTGTGGACAGAGCAGAGACACGTCTGAGGTGGACACGTCACACACAGACAGACACACAGACAGCGGTACAGCCATGTCCACACACCGCCGGACAGTGACGTCACACACAGGACAGACGGCTGACGTGACGTCACCGTCGGCCGTGGTGGCCGTGACGCGACACGTCACCGTCCGTGACGTGGCCTGCGGCGGTGGTCGAGTGTGTGTGTGTCTGAGAGGCCGGTGGCGCCGTGCAGCGTCTGTTGTGAGGGACTGACTGGTCAGAGGCGCGGCGCGCGGCGCCCTCTCACCTACCGGGGACCCAGAGATAGATGGTACGGGGCTCGCCATCACTGTCCCGGCCCAGGTCCGCCTCCTTCAGGGCGGTCAGCACGGCCCGGCCGGTGTCCGCCGTGCAGTGAAGGTACAGCGACCACAGCTTCCGACACGACTTCACCAGTCTGTAACAGAGCAGAGCAGCAGAGCCGTCACACACAAACACAGCGGCACCAGCCGGCCGGACGTACGAGTCAGTGTCAGTGTCAGTATTTCAGTGTCGGTGTGTTGGTGTCAGTGACAATGCGTCAGTGTCAGTGTGTCAGTGTCAGTGTGTCCGTGTCAGTGTGTCAGTGTCAGTGTGTCAGTGTCAGTGTGTCAGTGTCAGTGTATCAGTGTCAGTGTGTCAGTGTCAGTGTGCCAGTGTGTCAGTGTCAGTATGTCAGTGTGGGTGTATCAGTGCCAGTGTGTCAATGTCAGTGTGTCAGTGTCAGTGTCAGTGTATGCGTGTCAGTGTCAGTGCAGTGTCAGTGCAGTGTCAGTGTGTCAATGTCAGTGTCTGACAGGACCCGCCTCGCCAGTGTCTGCTGACTGACCTGGTGTACGCTGCTGCTGTGAAGGCCGTCTCTGCCGGCCGCTGGAGGTCCCCCAGTGTGAGGGTCTGCAGCCCGGGGCAGCCGCTGAGACTGTCCAGCACGCCGTCAGGGACGCCGCCGGACAGGGTGAGACTGAGCAGCTTAGGGCACCTGGTGAGGGGCTCCAGACTCACGGCGTCAGGGACGCCGCCGGACAGGGTGAGAACCCACAGCCCAGGGTACCTGGTGAGGGGCTCCAGGCTCACGGCGTCAGTGACGCCGCCGGACAGGGTGAGACGCTCCAGCTTAGGGAACCTGGTGAGGGGCTCCAGACTGCCGGTCGTGAGATCAGGACAGTCTGGAAAACACACAGACACACATACAGACAGGATCAGTCGGTAGAAATACATGTCAATATAGAAAAGAACGAAACAGTTATGAATTCGCATGGTGTTATGGGCACAGTAGACGATGATATAACAGTGGTACTAAATGATATGCAATCAGTTCAGCCAATGCACTGAACTGCATTGAACATTGAATTACAATCATTATGTGTATGTTCAAATAACTATGAACGGATATGTCACTGACTGAAGTTGAACAGTCATCCTCCATTTTGGAGCTCAATTGACTTCATTATTTCTCAAAGCACATTGGCTATGTATCACACCTGTCTCCATGAGGTGCGACAACGGCACACCGTTACTCGGTGTCCGCCATTTGCTGAGCCCGTATATCAGCGGCCTGTCCGTGCTGCCGCTGCTCACCGTATATCTCCAGTTGTGTGACCGTCCGTCCCAGGTCAGTGAGGTGCCTGATGGTGTCGGCAGCCACCCCCTGGAGCGACACTGACAGATCACTCCCGTACCATTCCGGCCACCTCCGCTCCGTCACCTCCGGCCCTGTCGGACAGAGCTGTGCAGTGGCGTATCCAAGGGGGGGGGTCCTGGGGGTCCTAGGACCCCCCCCTGGAGCCTAGACAAAAAGTTTTTTATTATAACACGGAAAAAATGAAATGACTTCAAGGGCCCTTTTGACCACTTCCCAATTAATTCGCAGAAAAGTATTGTAGAACTCTTTTAGGGACCCTTTGAGGACTAACATTATTAGAGGACACCTTTAGGCCAATGAGGGACCTTGTGAAGTAAACAGAGGGCCCTTTCAGGTACACAGAGAGCCCTCTCAGGCACACAGAGGGCCCTCTCAGGCTCACAAAGGGCCCTCAGGCAAACAGATTGCCCTCTCAAACACACATAGGGCCCACTCAGGTACACAGAGGGCCCTCTCAGGCAAACAGAGGGCCCTCTCAGGCTCACAAAGCGCCCTCTCAGGCACACAGAAGGCCCTCTCAGGCTCACAAAGGGCCCTCTCAGGCAAACAGAGGTCCCTCTCAAACACACATAGGGCCCTCTCAGGCACACGGAGGGCCCTCTCAGGCAAACAGAGGGCCCTCTCAGGTACACAGAGGGCCCTCTCAGGCACAAAGAGGGTCCTCTCAGGTACACAGAGGGCCCTCTCACCCTAGTGAAAAAATCCTTAAGGACAGTCCTATGCATTTCTTAAGGACGATCCTTAACAAAATCCTTGTACGAAATTGATACACAATCCTTAAGGATTTTGTTAGAAATTCCTTAAGGATTCTGCGGAAAATCCGTAAGGATTTTTAGCTAAATCCTTAAGGATCTCTAGCAATGTCTTTAAGGACATTGGTAATAATCTTTAAGGACTTTGTGGCTTTTCCTTAAAGATTTGTAGCAAAATCTTTAAGGATCTTGGCGACAATCCTCAAGGATTTTGAGGCTCTTCCTTAATGAGCGATATATAAATCCGTAAGGATCAAACCCTAGCAAACACATTTGTACGGTCTCTGGTGGTATATTTTTTACTTAAAACAAGCACATTTAGCCATTTTTCATTGCCAGGAATGGAGCAGCCGCCAACCACAGGCGGCCGGGTATACATATATGGAGCTCTAGGCATTCGCAGGTTGCAGCTGAGGCTCCGAGAAATATAAACCGAGGACTTCCGAAAAACATATTTACATGAAGATAAGTCTACACTTTTTCGAGTCAGCCACGCTTCAGATATTATCACGTCACACGTCCTCGGCCGCCGCTCCTCCGCCATCCACATACTACACATCTTGAGCGGTTGAGTCGCCCGTCGCCTGTCCAGTCTTGCATCCTGCGTTCCTGTAACAAGGCGGATATTCCTATGTAATAACAGTAATATACTGATCAACAATACCTACTCAAAGGCTCACGAATTCTACTCTTAGGCTTAGACTGCAGTCCCAGCCAAAGAATATTGGTGAGCCTTTGAGTAAATTCAGTTCAGTCATTTCCAGCTTAGATGCCTGTGTATGTTCATTTAGCAATGCAATATGCACCTACGTCCTACTACCCTGAATCCATTCTATTATACATATTTACCTGGGCCTCGTTCCAAGGCATGACGCTAAAAGACGCTACCGGTAGTACTTTCATTTGCCGCAGCCAAATGAATGACGACGACGATCGCCATTAATTGAAGTGAACGTTTCAGCGCCGGTTTTTGTATCTATCAATGCAATAACTAGGATCAATTATCTCATTGATACACAGCATGGCAGAGACTTACATGGCCCGAAGAGGAGACGGCAGACGGCACAACACACTCAACAGACTCGTCCGCATCCCGCGAGCGGCAGCGGCACAATGCGACAGGGGGACGCGCGGTCTCCCCTCTTGCCGGAGGCGAGGATCAGACCGCCCGCTGCCGCCCGTACAGTCTTTGAAACGGTCAGCGGTCGCTAAATTCCAGTCGGTACGGTCTCTGAAAGAGCACAGCGCAAACACTGTGGCACCGGTGGCACTAAGGCCACACGATACATGCATACTGTGGCACTTGGTTGAGATACCAATAGGTACTTTTTATCAGAACTATTCGTCTATCCGATTTGGAGTCTGGGTGAACCCAGCGTGGACATTTAGGTGACCATCCCAGCTGAATATTAATTCTGAGTTAAGATAGCCAAATTGTTATCCCTGGCTCACAATCACCGGTTTTGGCACTCGCAATATCGAGAAATGCCATAAATCGAAAATATTTAATTTCAAAGTTCAGCACAAAAGTGGGGGCAAGCTGCTCCCACTGCCCCCCTCGCCTCCCGGTTCCCGCGCCTATGATGATAGCGAACGCTGCTTTGGTCCGTCACAAAGTTTTTACATGCCGTATATGTCATATGGCTAATAAATTATCGGATACGGAGCACGGAATAATAGTAGGGATGATTCAATCACTCCATAATGATTGACGTACTGGCTGCATCGGCTATCCTGAAGGATTAAGCGACACTAGCAAGTAGCAATTTCCTTACGGAATACTGAGCGATCCTTAAGGATACCAAACATCGCCCTAAAATCCTTACGGATCGGCGAATGCGTCCTTAAGGATTCAAGAGGGTCCGTAGAGTCCTTAAGGATTTCATATCTGATCCTTATGGGTCCTTATGGATCCTTAAGGATTGTGGGGATTTTGGCGAAATCCTTAAGGACTTTTTCACTAGGGCAGGCAAACAGAGGGCCCTCTCAAACACACATAGGGCCCACTCAGGTACACAGAGGGCCCTCTCAGGCAAACAGAAGGACCTCTCAGGTACACAGAGGGCCCTGTCAGGCACACAGAGGGCCCTCTCAGGCACACAGAGGGCGCTCTCAGGCAAACAGAGGGCCCTTTCAGGTACACAGAGAGCCCTTGCAGGCAAACAGAGGGCCCTCTCAGGTACACAGAGAGCCCTCCCAGGTACAAAAAGGGCCCTCTCAGGCACACAGAGGGCCCTCTCAGGCTCACAAAGCGCCCTCTCAGGCACACATAGGGCTCTCAGGCACACGGAGGGCCCTCTCAGGCAAACAGAGGGCCCTCTCAGGTATGGCCCTCCAGCAAAAGAGTGGTTACTGGTTGGTTAGCCTATGTGCTTTTGGTGTAATAACTTTGAATGACAGTGATGCTCCTGTAAAATGACTCAATAGAAATGAGAGGAGGGTTCGTGCACACACTTCGGCAATGGTTTTCAACAGCCATTAGACGTATTCATTAATGCAGATCGCTTATTGTGATGTTGGCAACCAACCACTAAATACCTGGAGGATCGTACACAGAGGGCCCTCTCAGGCACAAAGAAGGTCCTCTCAGGGACAAAGAAGGTCCTCTCAGGCACAGAGGGCCCTCTCAGGCACACAGAGGGCCCTCTCAGGGTCACAAAGCGCCCTCTCAGGCACACATAGGGCCCTCTCAGGCACACGGAGGGCCCTCTGTGGTACGAGGGTCAATTTCAGGTCACAAGGTATCCTATGAGGCCACCAGACGGCCCTCTTAGATCAAAGATGGTCCCTGGATGTCACCAGAGGGCCCTCTGAGGTGAACAAAGGGCCCTCTCAGCCATCTCAGAGGGCCCTCTGAGATCGAAGAGATCAAAGAGATCAAAGAGGGCCCTCTAAGGCGAATGGAGGGCCTTCAAAGGCCACAAAGTGCCCTCTGAGGCACTGGGGGGCCTTCTGAGGTGATATGAGGCTATGTCAGACCACCATGAGCCCTATGAGGTCATCAGGGCCTCTGAGATCAAAGAGGGTCCTTGGAAGTCATCGGAGGACCCCTTGAGGCCTCTTGAGGCGAACAAAGGCCAGAGGGCCCATTAGACACCACAAAAAGTAAAAAAGATCCCTCTGAGGTCAAAGACAGCTCTCTGAGATGTAATAGGGCCATTTAAGGCCTCCGAAGGCTCTCTGATGCCACAGAGAGGCGCCCTCTGATGCCAAAATAGGGTCATCTGAAGTCTGAAGCCACCAGAGGGTCCTCTGAGGCGAACAGAGGGCCCTCACATCCACCTCAAAGAGGGCACTCTGAAAATCAACTGGCCCTCGGAGTCAGTGACCCAAAATTGTATTTTGGCTTGGGTGTCAGAGGGGGAAATAGGTAACTCAAAAGGGGGATAAGAGTGGACAAATGTCAGTCACAGGGCAGTCGGAGCCCTCTGAGAAGGCCACTTGAGCCTTACAACAGAGGGCCCTCTGAGGTGATATGAAGGCTATGTCAGGCCTGAGGCCACTATGGGCTCTATGAGGTCATCAGGCACTATGAGGAAAAAGCTGGCCCTCTGAGGCGAACAGAGGGCCCTTGGACAATTAGAGGACTTTTTAGGCCAACTAGGGGCCTTATGAGGCCAACAAAGGGCCCTTTGGGACACAAACAGGGCCTCTCAGGCACCCGGAGTTACCTGTTTTCTAAGGCCAACAGGGGGTCACCTTAGATTATATGACTTATGAGGGCTATTTTAGGCCACCATGGGCCTCCTGTATTAGACCAACATACGGCCACCTGAAGTAAAAGAGGACCTTTTGAGGTAAAAAACGGCCCCTGGAGAGAAAACAGAGGGCCCTTTCATGTACCCAGAAGGCCCATGGGGGCCATTAGAGGGCCCTTTGAGGCCAGTGATGGTCTTTGTTCTGGTTTGGGCCTCGCCTGCCGGGCCGCCCCGTACCGGTTCGTACCGGCTCGATGTGACCGGGTGCTGGGTCACCCCACCCTGGTACGATGTGGGCGCCTGTCATTGGTCGGTGGCTGGGTGGCGTGATCAGGCCACACCACCCGAGTTATGTGTCAGTGTGTGATGGGTCGGCCGATATGTAGCGAGGTGATGTGTGTGCTGGATCGGAGAGAGAGGGCAGTCTGGTTTTGGTCAGTGATAGTGCAATACACCTCCACAGCTCAGCCGGCTTGTGAACTCTACATGGCGCAGCCGACATCTACGGACCTGCTGCAAGTAAGCTGAGGTGTTGCCACCGGTGCCTATCCAGCTGGCCGGCGACGCATGCCGTACAACTTACGCTCCAAGTGCAAGATGGACGGCTCTGACGACCAAGAC